TCCGGAAAAAAAAATGACGTGCATCAAGGTCCTATTATGTTTAATGTATGTACCAAATTTGAACGAAATCCGTCCATGCATAACTGAGATCCGGGTCCGGAATGGTGAAAATGTGCCATTTTGATGCATTTTCGGCCTTAAAATGGCCGCTATTCGGCTATCGTTAATCGGATCATGAAAAAAATGCATGTGCATATGTCCCATATAATGTGTGATGTATGAGTGAAGTTTGAACATAATCGGTCCATGCATGTTCGAGATACAGGTGATCACGGACGCACGGACGCACGGACGGACGCACACAGGGCAAAACATAAGTCCCCGTTTTCGGACTCCGTCCGAACGGGGACTAAATATTGTTCATTTAGATGATTACATTATATTTTCGTTTCTATGATAAATAAATCCTTTATCAAAGAGGAAAGTGTATCTGAAGTAAAATGACCATCCTTTTATGATTTTTTTACTTGAAGCCTTTTTAATAATATCAAGTACAATTTTTGTATGTGTCACATACGTGTTTTTCAAAATTTAGTCAAAATGTTTCTCTTATTTATTTATCTTGTCTTGACATTTATACAATATGATTAATTATTTAGATATTTTAATGTTTTTTCTTGAGGTGGCCCAACTTATTTCATTTTTTTTAAATACATTGCAGGATTATATTTATACTATTTATAGTTTTTTCCTGATAACAGAATGAAAATTTATCCTGATTAAACTGTATTTTTACTTTTCAGAGAAACCGTTCTTTTAGGAAGAACAGATTTTACACCAAGTGAAGTGAAATTAATTGTAGACGAACTTGGAAAAAAATTTAAAGGAGATCGATATCACCTGATGCATAAAAACTGTAACCACTTTACATCAGCTGTTGCCAAGGTGAGTGATGCTGGTTGTTTTTATAGTATGGTGCTATACCTGGAAAATATATTCTCCAAATTTACAAAAAATGTTAATTTATGATAAATAAAATAAAATTATTGGGATTATTATGTAAAATATTGAATACATGAATTTAAGATATTTGAAAAAGCTAAAGTAATGGCTGACATTTGGACGTGCCAGAAATCATTGAAAATTGAATGTTTTGTGCAATTTCCTGCAATTGGTACAAATTTACACCATCAAATATTTTCACATTTCAAAGACCTTACTAAAGCTTTAGGATTATCTCAAAATGAAATTTTAAATACAGATTTTATCGTCACATGTGTCAATGGAAATTCACTGGATTATTTATTGTGAATACAGTAAATGATATTATTATTATATTGCAAGTTGATGTGTTCATCACATCAGCATTAATTATGATGATCTAAGAGATTCAGCAGTTGTCCATGGATACAGATGATCCATCATTAAGACCAGACATATTTTTTCCAGTGTGCATGGCAAAACTGTCACCTGTTGTCTTGGGGTCATGTATATATCATCATTTTATCTAGTAATATCATTCAAATGTTATTTGTTTTAAAAAACTTAAAAATAAATTTTATTTTATTAATAGTTATTGGAAACAGACTTATGATAAAGCTGTTCTTGATTGGCATGACTTTACTGCTATAGTTTTGGCATTGGTTGTAAATCAAGGGTGTAGAGTTTAATATATGTGGCCATTTTCAATAGTGTATTTGCTCTTTTAGTAGCGCATGTTTATTTTAATGTTTTAGTGTACAATAAATGTGATTTTTGGTTTCTGTACACTTCTTTTGGAGATGTGTTTCTAATAGAGCAAATATGGTATGACATTGGTGGAGAATAAATATTTTGTCTCAATCTGCAAATCAAGCCAAAACAACTTAACTATTGCATTTTACAAATTTCTAATCTGCCTCAACCCTAATTTCACTCCCAGAATTGTATTATTGCACTGACATGTCTACTGTAATTGAAAATTCTGTGGAATGACTCTTACAAACACCAATAACTTGTACACTTATGTCATAGTCTCTGTTAGATCAAAGGATTTATGAAAATTTGTTTCCATACACGTCTTTATTATTGTTTATTGCCAGTAACTGTTGTGATCTTTCACAGATATTGGTTGGTAACGATATTCCACCGTGGGTGAACAGACTTGCCTATGTCAGTTCGTGTGTGCCTTTTGTAGAACGATGCCTACCGCAGGAATGGTTAACCCCTGTGGCCTTACAGCAATGTATCATCAAAGAACCAGAACCAGATAGATCCACCAATCTAGGAAGCACGAGAGAAAGGCGACGATATGATCCACGTTCAAGTATAAACTGATAGATAGTGAATGTAAATAAATTAGATATTGTATTTGTATGAATCTGTGAATTGATTGGTTTTAACCCATCGTCTCAATTTTTTCTTGTGACCTTTATTGAATGACTACTCAAAATTTGTCAAAATAAATATTTTAAACTTGTTACCACTTCCAATTCTGTTCAGATCTTGAACAAATCAAATATTTTACAATATCAGCCAAGAAGGACTCAGAAGTACAATGTATATTTATAGTACTGCTTTATTATGTACACTCAGGTGATCACAAACACTATCAATTCTCAATATTACCGGTAGTCTTGCTATGAAGTTGTAAATTGCAATCATTTGACCATTTGCATTGACCACAATTCAGTTATGAATGTGAATTCAGTTTTTATATTATTCTGTTTAGCCAGAAAACAAATCAGTGAAGATAAATTTACTTTCCAGTCTTCAGTTGGATTTAGTGGTTCATTTGCAGCTATTCTAAAACACCTCAAAATAACTGGTAATTTATATAAAAGTCTATCATACTGTAAAATACTTTCGCTGAAAAACGTTTTTGGATGTTTTGTATAAAATTTATTTTCACTGATTTTTGACAAGTTGAATGTAAAATCTAAGAAAAAATGGATTTTGTTTTTACCGAATCATCCCTTCAGCGAAAATAATATATTTTACAGTAGGTGCATCTTGGCACATGCATCTTGGCACAAAGTAATGCTGTATTGTGCAAACCATGTAATAATCTCAGTGTGACACTTCTAAGCAATGCATGACAAAACGAATGTAGAAAATTGTTGGCTATAGAGCAGTGTGTATTTCCTGGCAAAATATGTTTCTTGTCTGTGATTTTGTATTGGTATGAGTTCATAATTTCTACTGAACTTTCATATCACTCATTCAATATATATCTAAAATTTACAGTGGAAAATGTGATGGTACCCCCCCCCCCCTCTATTTTTTGGTCTATAGGACTGCCTCCATTCTCATCAGTAAAGTTAGTATGGTAATAGCCATTATGGCGGCTAAATGACACGAATGCCAGGTTATTCGATAATAATTAGATCACTAATAATATTATTGTTTGTAATTACTGAATTCTGTGTTTTGATTGTACTCATTGGTAAAAAAAGTTCCTTATCTGACAAAACCTGGCTATTAATTTCAGTTTCAACAACATAAATTTAAAATATTCTTTGCTGTGATCCAGATTACATAGAATTTGAAATCATGTTGCAGTTATTTACAGATTATATGATAAAAATACTGCCAGATAGACTGTTAATCTCTGCACAGACAGGTATGTGTTAACACATCGCCCAGTGATGCTGTTTTGGCTATCCATGGAGGCATGTATCTGTCTGTTTTATTTATAAAAATGAAAATTATTTATTTTGATGCAGTTAAAATATATTCTATTTAGTAAATTTGTCAAATATTTAATGTGGAATTCATCTAAGGGATCAAACATTTGAAGTTATTGGGGAGGGCGTATGTGAATGGAAAAGTGTGATCAGTGCATTTTTTTCACAGTTCTTGTCTGAACATTTGTATTTTTCTTGGCTGTGCCAATATTTTTCTCTGCAACACCTGGTATTGCCCCCCCCCCTCCCCCCATGATTTTAAATTGTAAATCCCTAAGCTGGTATGAATATATATTTATATCAATACCACTGTAATGACAAGTGATTAATTATTCAGAATTTTTTTCAATCAGACAAATACTGTAAAAGCATTGTCACTAGTATTTAATTTCATTATTTTGAGTATGTTCACTGGGTTTTAAAATTGACAAATGTTCTGTGTAAATGAGTTCTATTGTAATTATACATTTTTACTGTGATTTTTACTAATGGATTTCAGTTGTCAGCGAAAATGAAATCCAGTGAATAAATAATGCACTTACAGTAAGCAACAGACATACTTTAATACTGTTGTAAGTAAACATCCTCGGGCTTCACAAATATATCACTCAAAAGCTGAAATAGAATAATGAAGTTAAAAAATATATTTAATATTTGTGAATAATTCCATTGTGTATAAAAAAAAAACGTGTTTTAATGCTGGCAACTGGAAACCAATTATTATGGAAAATATCTGTTATCTCTTTTACATGTTAATCATTTTTTATATATCGTTATATGTATATTTGTTTTCATTTCTTTTGTTTCTAGAAATATTATTTGCTCTATTGGTGGCATGTGCGCTTACGTAATTGACAAAGGTGTAGTCAAAATAAATCATATTTTTAAAGGATTCTGTATATTATAATATTATTTTTATTTAGTTTATTCATGCTTTTAATAGAGCAAATATAGTATATCTAAGGCAGAAGTTCAGTAATAAAATGAGACGAATTTTCTTGCATTTCCATTCTTTACAGGATGACACTTTTGGAAATTGTTGCTGGAAACTATATAACAGCTAGTACCCCCCGGTACTTCATCCATAACGAGACTTCTTGTATTGTGCAAGTAGTCTATCTACCCAAGAACCTTTGTTATATGTAGCAATACTTTTATGAAAGCCCTATATTCATAAAATGAACAGGGCTATTTAATTGGCTGAATTTATTAATGAATTGAGTGTCTATTCATATGTGTATGAATTGGAAGTTAGTTTAGCAATAGAGGTCAAATGTATAAAGAAAGTTCTGGAGTATGAATAATCCGAGGGAGGAGGGTACAGCCAAATCTATTATATTGGTTCTTATTTATTATTCAGATATTGTACAGCATCAACTGTCCCTACTGTAGAATACTTTATTTTCGCTATTTTTGCTGAAGGGATGATTCTGTGAAAATAAAATCCAGCGAATATACGTTTTTTTCCCTACAAATGTATATTTCACATTCAACTCATCAAAAATCAGTGAAAATAAATTCCATACAAACATCCAAAATGCCCTTTCAGCGAAAATTAATTCCAGCTAAAATAAAGTATTTCACAGTATTTGGATTTATTTCAAAAACCAGGATTTATGGATTGGACTGTGCGAGTCCTTGCATCCCTGCCTGCATCTTGGACAAGCCTTGACCAATCACATTCAAAATTTACACATACGTGTATCTTTTTGTGCTAAAAATCCATCAAAAACTATTTTTGTCATACATACAGTATGGGACCTTGAACATCATTTTGTTTTTCTGAATAGATTCATAGTGGCCAACTGGTGGCCATTTTATTTCAATAAAATTTCTGACATCCCTGGAGTTATCACATATTGACAGGCATTTGTTTCTAGTTTCAAATCAAAATGGTGGATTTATTTCAGTTTTGTTTACTGTTGAACAGAGACTGTGTCATGACATGAATCGCTTTATACATTTGTATTATTGCTTTTAATATATAAAAAAATGCCAAACCAAAATGTGTGGGTTTTATATTGGATAAAACTGCTGTAGAGTACACTTATTTCAACACTACACCCAGATTTCAGACATGAACTTTTTAAAACAATTGATCATATATTTGTGTAATTCTAATGAAAATGATAATAATGTAATAATTTCAGGAGTATACCAATGAATTATTCACTAAACAGACATCTTAATCAAAATCAGTGAAATCAAATGAATTTTTAAAAGTGTCTTCCAGGCGCATGTTTAATTTTTTAAACATCATGTATATTGTACTGCTTTATGTCAATATTTTTCCAAGTAGTTCAAACATTAAATTGTTCAGTTTTTATTTTTCAAAGGTATGAAATATTTATTAATGATATATGCTTGCCAGGAGTCTATTTGAATTAAGGATAGTCTGTTTAAATTAAAACGTGAACATTGATTTGTGTTCAGGGTTAAAAAAAACTCTGCTCTTTGGTGCATGTGAATAGAGCATCTTTTTAAAACCAGTGGAATGTTATATTTTATTTCCCCCTTGCCAATGATATTCTGCCATCTCAAAATGAGTTTGATTAGTAATGGTTAAAATAAAGAGATATAAACTCAAGTTGTTTTTCTTGTTTATTTCACTATCAACACAGCTGACATGAGTCACCTTTACCTTCTGTGCCATGTTTAATCCCTGCCTATATGAGTCATGGCATGTCATGTTATGATTAGCTTTATACGTACATGTAACTCAATTCAGTCTTGCATGGCTTAATCTTCACATTACATTACCATCATTTTCATGCAAGATAGAGAGGCCAGACAGACATAATCTTGAAATAACCTGTTTCTTGATCTCTTGCCCTATTTTATATTTCACTGGTAATACAAAGCATGGATCCCAAATCAATTGAATACACTTAATTTTCCTTTCACCATTTCATACTTCAGACTGACTGGAAAGTCTTTAAGGCATTAGACACAACACTGTATAAAAAAAATAGTAACTTCTCATTTTGACAGCACAAGACTTATGAAATCTATAAACTATATCATTTTGCAGCCTTTAAATGTCCTCTACAAACATATTAAAGTGAGAGAACCTTGACACCCTTGCTTAAATATTTAACCGACTGACCAAACTTGATTAGCTTCATGATTAATCATATACTTTTATACACGGTTAATAGAATTCTTCTAGTAACCATGTTTTATATAAGAGAATTGTACGAGTCGTGGGTGGTTATAGTCACAAACATGTCAGAAAAGCTCTACTATAAGCTACATTAATTGATATAAGTTTGTAACACCTGCTCCAAGCTAGCTATCATTTGATTTCATCTGCACTTTAGACTGTTTCCCTCTATTTGCAGTTTATCAGCATCTTCAATTTCCATCTCATCATAATCTTCATCTTTTTTTCCTGACATTAATTGTTTCATTTGAGGACCTTCATCATCACTGCTAACATCAATCCCAACTATAGAGGGCACATCATCATCAAAGTACTTTTCCTGTTCATCCTGTTGTCTCAAATCCAAAGAATCATAATCAACATTGTTATCTACAGCCGAATAATCAAAATCCTTGTCATTACCACTAATAAATCGTATCTGCATAGTTTTTAAATATTCAAGTCTCAGCATGTTTTTCTCTTCTGCAGTAATTGCAATGTCAGTATCTTTGAGTGCAGAATCTGAGTCATCACTTTCATCATCCTCTCTGGAGGCAAACACCATTTTTTCATCTTCTTCATCTGAAAAATCAATTTCACAAAGCCATGAAAGCAAAAATAATTCAAATTTTATCTATACTACAGTAATTAATACATTATGTAGGTGGTGCAGTACAGTATTTATTCATCTTCATATCTTACATTTAGGCCACACTGATTTAATCTTATGGATGACATCCTCTGAAGACCCCAAAACTAATGCGAGAGGGCAAAAAAAAAAAAATCCTGCCAAAAAAAATCCACAGGACTACGGAGCTGTTATTACAAATTGAACCACAGTGTATCAAAAAACAACAAGTCTTTATTTGTAGGAGGCACATGTTGATGTACACATTTCGTACTGTATTACTGTCACAGGTATCATCACCTTTGATTTTGAAAAAGCAAGAGGATAAGGCAGATGTTAGCTTTGCCAAAGGCATATACATCAACTCAATAATAAAGAAAAACTTACTGTGTTGTATAGAAAAAAAAAAAATTAAAAATGAACAATAAGTTTGTCAACAGCAACCTGGAAATTAACTTCTTTGACATTCAAACTACAGCTTTTAAAGTGACACTTCAGATAGACTAAGTGTAGACACAAATGCTCTAGAACTACTTCAACTATGTAACAAATTATAAGAGGCTCGATATTGAAAAAAAAACACCAACAGAGAGTCAACAAAAATTTG